GGCATTCCCCTAGAGGAGCTGGAGGAAGTGTCTGGAGAGAGGGAAGTCTGGGCATCTTTGCTTAAACTGCTGCCCCCGCGACCCGGTCCCGGATAAGCGGAGGAAAATGGATGGAGATTAAGTAAATTTAGGTGGATGAATGTGTAATAGTTACAGTAAAGTACACAATTATCATCATAATCAGACCTAGCATAATTTGTAGTCCTTCTGAGACCTTACTTAACTGTGACCACATATATTTCAGGCTTTGGCCAAAATAAACAAACAAATAAATAAATAAAAAATAATGCAAGAAGACAATTTAGGAAAGCCTAGCTTACTTAACAGGCATGTAGCTATAGAGGACAAGGTATTTACAAGGAGTTTATTTTTATGCATTTTTTTTTATCTGAATTTGGGTATTAGTAGCTTCTGCTAATTCTACCATAGTACCTTAAAATGGACTGTGGATATTTTATAGGCTAATTATTACTGGAAATAATATGCACATGTCTACGTCCATAAGGGCTTTAGCATGTCTCTGTATTTTATTCTGACCATGTAGTGAAGGCTTTGAAACACCATTAAACTATGTTACTGATGTTACCATGAAGGCAAGAATATTTACAAAAAAATGTTACTGAATAGTGATTACATTTATAAAAAAAAAATCAATGTAATTCAACTACTCGTTATTCATTACAGCATTTTACGTGACACGTTACGTAAAGTAGCCCATAACGTTTCAACGTACGCATTCTCAGCTGACCATTTCATTGGTTGAGCCATAGCAACCGTATTGAGTCCATAGCAACGGCTAGCAACGAGTCGTGTTTTAGCTAACTTGTTCTAGGAATAACCTGAAGCTAATTTAGCCGTTGCTGCAAAATAGTCGCCTTTTAAAAATGGGGGACAAAAAGCAAAAAATTCGTCAGAAACGTATTTTTGTCAACGACGTCGATAGATATTCCTCCAAGCACATCGCCGAGGTAAAGTATATTGTTTATGTAAAAGGATCCTGCCACTCGCCAATTTACACTAATTTTCTGACCTACGTCAACAACAGTTTTTATCGACATGCATATCCGGGGAGGAATTTGAAGATGCCGAAGCAGAGGAGACTTTAGCCTCCCCTCGAGGTGAACCAGCTTTCCAGATAGTGGGCACTGTGTCGTCTTCCTCCAAAGACGAAACGACAGGCTTTCTACTGGAACAGTATGTGGTGAGTAAGATATTAAATCAATTCGTGTATACAAAAATGTGCTTTATTGACAAATAGGTATTTGTCAGTTTATATCTAGCCTACTGTATGGTAGATATTCTAGGTAAGCTACTGGTGGAAAGTTACAAAATAATACATCTACTCAAGCACAGTACACAGTATGACAAGTAGGTACTTTCACTATACTTGAGTTACCATTAGCATTTTATGTCACTTTATAATTTTACTGCACGTTATGAATATTGCATTTTTGTTTTTTACATTTGATAGTACTTTGGGACCATTCTATGTAATGAGTAGTTTTACTTTATATTGTTTACATATATTTTGTTAATAGTTCTCATGTATTTAGCTTAAGTAAATTTGAATGCTTGACTTTTAAGCATAATGGTGAATCTTTATGTTGTTGTTTTACTGAAGTAAATTATCTGAGTACTTCTTCCACCCCTGCAAGCATGGATTATACAGTACCACCTTTAAATTATATATATTTCTGGAAAATGAAAATGAACAACAGTTAATAGGAAGAAATACATTGTATTTTTGTAGTCACCCACTCGAGATGAGCTTCTTGAGTGCCTGCTGCAGTGTGATGTGGTGGTGTACAACATCTCAGAGAGTGGTACACAACAGCAGGTTGAAGAAGCAACATGGACAATCACAGGTAAGTGAGTGAGGTTTGCTTTTAATTTGTTGAACTGGTTTAATTATACATTGATCTCTTAAAAATAGAAGAGATCATTATCCCAGGTAATACAGTAATGTGACTAACTAAAATGTAGGGTTGTTCCTGATTACTCTATCCTCTCTGGCCTTTGTCTTTCAAACAGCCCTTCATGCTGAGTTGGAAAACTTCAAGTCTCGGAAAATGTTCATCTTAGTCTCAACAGTCATGACCAAAGCTTTGATTAAGCCACAGAACTCTGTGAGTCTGGGGAAATTTTAGGCAACTTCAGGTCTTGTGCATAGCAACTCTAGCTATTTTGGGCATGAAAAACACAAAACAAACAGTGTGATTGTAATTTCTGGCATCAGGATGAAACTGATGATCTACTCACAGAGGAAGAGTTCAAAAAAGGAAGGCCGCATCCCCGTTTCAAAAACCACAACAATCTAGAGAAACTTGTGCTCAAATTGGGTAGAGAGGTAAATTATAATCAATGAAATCAGTGTCTCTCCTAGAATATAGCAACACAAGTGTTGAAAAGTATGCAATCATAATACCTCATTTCATAATTTGTTATATTTTACAACATTACAGAACAAGTCCAAACTTACTGGTTATGTTGTAGCAAGTGGTCTTCAGTATGGAAAGGGAGAGAACCTCTTTCACTACTTTTTCAAGGTAGATATTAATGTAATATTAGTAATGTGACACAGTATACTGTATGAGTGTTTTTAGACTGTATGCATAATGAATAAAATTATCATTTTCTAACAGGTGTCTTGGTTGATGCAGTTTCCAAAGGTCCCCATATTTGGAGTGGGCACAAATCACATCCCTATGATTCACATATATGATCTTGCAGGGTGATTTTCATTAACTGTACTTCTACATAATTAATTTGTCTTTTGATTGAATTAGTGCCAAGCAGAACTGTCTCTGTTTCTTTTTCAGAGTGATCCAAAACATCATTGAACTCAGACCAAAGTCAAAGTACATTCTCGCTGTTGATGATTCCAAGAACACTTTGGAGGATATTGTAAAGGTAACCTTGGTACAAATAAGAAAATAGATGGACATGAAAGAAATGTTTAATGTATTTGTAATAAAACTACTACTGTAATGTGCTCTGGCTGATGGTGATCTGTTGCATCTTGTCTCTCTCTCTCACTCTCTCCATTTATTTCTTGTCACTCTAATATAACCTTTCTACTAAAAATAATGCTAAAAAGCGCAAGAAATAATATGAAAATCCCTGCTTAACTCTTTAGATGATAAGCGATACACTTGGGCCAGGAAAAATTAATAAATTACCAGAAGAGGACGCCATTGCCATGAAGGCTTTTCAGGTATAGTATGTTTTATTCTTATTTTAAATGAGTTAGAATCTAGTCTGAATGATTCTTCATAGTGCGTTTTGACGTCTCTCTCTGTTTTTTAATAATGACTTAGCATTTATGACTATTAACAAAGTTCTTCGCAGACAGCATCCAGCATAGAGACATTTGTACATTACGATCAAGCAACTAAATGTAGAACTGCTGCTGCTCCACAGAAAATAGTTGCAAACCTGCTTTTTGATTTTGAATTCTGAGCCAAGATTTAGTACATTAAGTCCTAGTGTTATAATCGCATGATTAAGTCACAAACCTAAAACGTTGAAAACTGGGTAAGGATAAAAAACCCTGAACTATCATTTGAGTTGTTTGCTACAGTGGCTTTAGTAGATATATGTAGATACAGGATGAAAGAAACCACCTGCTGTTGTTTGTGCTAAGAATGAAAATCTGTGTAACCTCCTCAGTGGTATATTTCTGCATACAGTATTTACCTTATAAATAATTAATATAAAACCTGCTGTGTTGATAATCCTTGACGTTGTCAGCAAGAAGAACTGGAGTATCTCAGGATCAACCTCCGCCTGGACCCTTTTATTGTAAAAGACTCCTTAAACCTTCACTGGAAATGTGAATCTGGAATGGTTGAGAACATGGAGGCCATTGTGGAGGAATACAAAAACACCAGACAGCTACTTGTGAGTGTTCAAGTCCTTCAATGAGTCACAGTCTGTAACTATTTGTTGTTGCAGCTGCTCAAAACCTGTTCAGGAACTGTGAAGAGTAGAGGTCTCTTGTTATGTATATAAAGATTTAAATATATTTAGAGAACTTTTGCTACTCTGATCTAAAGTATGCCTGGAGTCAATATGTCAAGCCATCCACAGTGACACAGTCATCTTAATAAGGTACGTTTTACCATATAAAAACTGCCACAGTTTCCTTTTTTCCATCTATTGTATGTTTGTAGCCGATTAGAATCTGCCTGGTTGGACCTCCAGCTGTGGGCAAAACCACTGTTGCACAGAAGCTCTGCAGTCATTACCAGATACCCCACATCCAGATCAAAGAGGTCATTGGGGAAAAGATTACACAGCTGGTCAGTCGGAGTAAAAATTTGCATTTCTTTTCTGATTGCTGTCACGTGACTAAGGGAAATATAGTGCCCTCGTGTGGGAGTTCTTCTTTCAAAACAAGATATGTAATGGATAGGCAGCTGCAATGTGAGGGCAACACTGTAGAAAATACACTGTTTAATGGTCATGTTTGTGTATGCTGCAGAAGGAGATAGTGAATGGAGGCAATCCTGAAGATGTCAGTGAAGACGCAGCAGCCGTTGCACAGACACAACTGGGAAATATTAACAAAAGCATGGAAATGAATGAAGGTTAGTGATAAAAACACACAGTCTTTCAGTCTGTTATAATTTCATTGTGGTTTATTAACATCATTTCAATACTTTGGATTGAACAGTGTCATATGATGTACAGTAAAAGTGAGAGAAATGTAGCTCATAATCTGTTGAACTTGTGTCGAAGGGCCATTTTAACTGAGAGTGTGTGCGATGGCTGACTAGTTTGTTGCTTGACATTGCATACACTAGATGTCTGAGAATCTTATCGTTTCTCAGTTTTTATAAACCAGTGTTTCGATCCATCAGGGCGACTGGCTGACCACCTAGTTGTTGACATTTTGCAAGAAAAGCTGAATTCAAAGCCTTGCAGGAACCAAGGATTTGTTCTTGATGGTTTCCCTAAGACCTATGAGCAAGCCAAGTTGATTTTCTTGGGTAAGCATCATCCACTGATTTAATGACCACACTACCAGGAATAGCACTTATTGCTCTAATATCTATGCTGTGCTTTTATTGTTCAGAAGAGGATGAGGAGACACAGGAGTCGAAGGTTAAAATGCCCGTGTACAACAAGGAGATCACTCCAGGTTGATAATGTACTTCTTATTGTAATTCTATACAAACTGTTTCTAAGAATTGGATGATAGATTCTGAACCAACTTACCCAAACGTTCCTGCTTTATGCTTTGCAGACCATGTTATTGCTCTAGAAGCGTCTGATGTTTTCCTGATAAAAAGAGTACAAGGACTTCCAGAAAGCATGGCAGAGAAAATGCATTTCACCCAAGATGAATTTGTTCCTCGCCTGATGAGATACAGGCAACGCAGTACTGCTGAGGAAACCCTGCTGGACTACTTCGATGAGCTTGAGATTCACCCTGAACATATTGGTAGATAGTACACATAAAACAACAGCAGGTTTCATTTCAAGCAAAAAAGAAACTAAAATTGTTACACGATAGAATAACTAATTGGTTTGTCATGTATGTTAATTCTATAGTCAGACATTTTTGGATTTATGAAGAGGATAAACATGTTGAGGTTTCTCTCAGTATTTATCCCCGTTCTTGCACCCAAAACACAGTAATTTTCCTTTTTTTGTGCCATAAATCATCATCACTTTATGCCTTAAAATACAGCAGGTTTGTTGTCCGTATAGCATCGCTGGAAACTACATAATGTGCAGAAGAGAGGTTTGTAGAAGCAGGGACTCCTAGTGATGGAGTGTTTCTTTTCAGCTTGTGCATTTTGTTCCTCTCCAGAGGTCAGTACAGATGATCCAGAGTACACAGAAGTTATAGAGAGGATTACAGAGATGGTGGGGCTTCCCAAGAACTATGGCCTGAGTCCAGAGGAGCAGGAGGAGGAGGACAGAAAGAAAGAAGAAGAGATGAAGCTGAAACTGGCTGCAGGTGCTGCTGAAAAGAAACGCAGGAATGAGGCTACACTAGCTGACATGGCTGCTCAGTATGAGGAGTGGGTAAGTAAAGTTGTAGACACGTTTCACATTTCTGCAAACTCACTAGGTACAGAAATTAAGTGGACATGCTTTTGAGGGAAGTTCTCTTTCATAAAATTCAGTATACTGATTTCTATGGAAGCAAATATAAAAAGTGATATAACCATTAATTAAATTCTTTTATGATGTTTTAGCAGAAGAATGTGTCTGAAGTGAGAAGGCAGGAGTGTGAGCTGCTTGAAGCTTGCTCCCTTCCTCTGAGGAACTACCTGATGAAATATGTGATGCCCTCGCTGACTGAGGCCATGTCAGAGTGCTGCAAGATAAAACCAGAGGACCCTGTTGACTTCCTGGTACTCCTCAGTATTTTACTTATAAACTTTTTATTCAGTAGTTCTCAGTACTTTGAAGTGATTTTCCTTTTTAAATATGAGTGAATGGATTACAGCCGTTGATATTGTGTGTTTTGTTTTTGTAGGCTGAACACCTTTTATGGAACAACCAACAAGATAAAAACTCAAATGAATGAGGAGATGCAACATGCAATATTCTGCAGTGTTTAACACGTGTGTACCCCACATTGTAATAGAAAATGTAAAGAGAGATGCATCAGTGTTGCAGGCATATGACAACTACTGTATGAAGATGTTTAGAAGGTTGTGAATTTTTCATTCCCTGTAATAGTTACTGGAAAGTCTGAGACTTCATTCATAAAACCACGAGCACATCCATACTTGAATGTGCCTTTGATTTACCTGAAGCAGAGAGGACACACATATTAGCAGTGAAAAAATTAATTTCAGGTTTTAACAAAACAGCTAAATATTAAAACTTTTCTGCAGTGAGTCATTCAGTTTACATGCTGCAGCACTAACATATATAATCCATGGTCAGTACCCCTTTTCCATACAATGACTCACCCTTTATAAAGAATTTATGAATTGGTTTTTTTCATTGTCATTTATAGGCCACTGGTAAATGTAACCTTTAAGTTTCCAGGTTGCGGAAAATTGTTGGTGAGTAATTAATTGTGAAATCTTTTGTCATCAAGAAGTAGTAGCAAAACGAGTGTTGCACAACACTTAGTATTAAAGAAAGAATACAGTATTATCACCCAGTATTAAAAATAACAAAATGGACAAGAACACAGAAGGTAGCAAAAACTACATTGCAGGTATATTGTGATATGGCATAAATATACTTGTGCTCATTTTTTGCATACTTCAGACACTAAAAATCACAATTTCAGAATGATTCACATACTCTTTTCTTCCCTAGTGTAGGACTTTGCTTGGTGTTTGTGTCAGATGTTTACGGTTTAGCCAGGTTTCCACTCATTTACAGCTGCTATCTTTTAGAGCCTCCATCTGGTCTGTGACTCACTCCCACTGTACTGTAGAGTCAGCACTTACCGGAAGAAGCACATTGACGCTGGCCTTAATCTAGCAAAGATGTAAACAGCACACTTCAGAGAGACTAATGTGCAGGGTGCTTCAATTGCAGGTGAAGCATGTGAACATTCAATCTATTCCCATGTTTCACTCAATCTTGAACAATGAAAGAGAAGTGGGAATCATCTGATACACTTAAATAAATAAGGTTGAAGCTCAGGTTTCAGCCCAACCGTCCTTTTTAAATGTACTCTTTCAACAGTAGGTGGTGCAGGTGGTCTTTCTTATTAACAGGCAAATCAGAGACCCAAATGCCTGGACTCGTGCTTGTGTAAACGTGTATAATTTACCCAAAACAAGTCAGTGCCTTTGTCATGAAATGCACTAATATTCAAGCGGTTTTGGCTTACTATGCTTTTAATAAATGAGTCTTGCTGTGCTTGTTGTTCTGATAATGTTGTAAAATGTGTCACAAAATAAGAGTGTATTGCTCTCAGTTTGTTGTGGACATTAAGGTCAAAATGGAAGTTTGGCATTTGGTTTGTAATTTGTGAGAGAGGAAATTTGGAATCCACCAGATAATTAGAAGTTGTCTGCAGGCTCACTAACATTATGTGAAAATAAATCATGGTTTTATAGGTGTTACCACAATATAAGACAAACACAGTAAATTACTATTACTTCTGTAGTGCAGACCATTTCAATGTTACTAAAGTTCTGCAAACACAGGAAAGCCATAGTGATCCATATGATTACATATTGTTAAACTACAGGTTTGTTTTTTATTTTTCTAAGACTAAAGTAATGCTGGAAGAGGAGTGTTATCGGTTTTTTTTCATTTCCCAGAATACTTGTGAACCGTGTACACCATGCAAAGCAGCAAATCAAACCATCAAAACTCCCACATGACTCATCCCCACAGGTTTTTTCACTTATTTTATCCTGACTGAGGCTAATCACATTTTCATTCACATAATCACAATTACAAGTTGCAGAAATTGTTGTATTACCACAATTTACATAGTAAGAGTTTGATTGTAGTTTATGGTAAATGATGTTTCCAAATTTGTTACAACAGCTACTGTTTTGCAAAATCTAAGTTATACAATATATGAAAGCCTAATATGAATCCTTCAAGGCCACACGACTGTTTGCATTAATCTTGCATTAGCCCTTTACCACCAGTAGATGGCGCTCCACCCCTTCCTTATTTTGCTTTACCTTGCTGCGTTGTCCCTTTAACAAACTGGCACACAGGTGGTATTTCCGGAAGTGGTCAGGCGTCCTACTGGCAGAAATAACATTAATTTAAATGTCTTTTAACGCAGTTTGTACAAGACAATCATAAACACGCCATGTTAAAAATATTTTCAACTGATGTGAACCAGGATTTGAAACATTTTGATGCATTGTTTGCCAAAAGGGAACGCAATCTTACTTCGGGATGCTAGCGGCGGGTCCTACCATGAGCAGAAGCAGGTGAGCTTTCTACTATTAAACTGTAGTTGTTTTGATGTGCATATACGAAGATTCGTTTTTTCGTATTCTATGTTGTTTCGTTGCTATCTGAGTTGAAATAAGGCTTCTACCCACACAACACGCCCGTTTTCCTCAGGCTAGCTTGTTAGCATCTATTTGAGTTCACTCTGGTTATTCCCGCAATGTTTTGTGACTTGTATTTTCACTAAATGTTTGTGTGTACTGAGAGATTAGTAGTCAACACGCTGTGTCTGACTGCATTTGTTCTTGCAACAGTAAAATTTCGATTAAGTTTGTCTTACCAATTCTAATTAGCCCAATAAATTCTTGTATAACCGTGCGTCTCCAGCCTGCGCCCCAGCGATATTACGCAAATTAGAAGTCCGGTTTCAGTTAGTTTAACATTTTCCAATTCTTGTCTCTGTCATTTTCTACGGTTAAAGAGTTTGTAAATTGAGTGTATAGTTTGATGTACCGTTTGTGTTTTATTATTCAAATGTTTTCAAAAAGTTGCATGGAGTTCTGTATACCATCACAAGCCCCCACTCATCATATAGTCAGCGTGGTTCATGAGTAACGGCTATTTTAATTTGGGTATTTGATATTAGGCATTTTTGCACCAAAAAGACAGGTGCTGTGGAAGAAGTTCAGTAGATTTTAGCCACTTGCAGTGCAACAAACTGCGATTGCTACATTATTGGCTATATATTAGCAGATTATATTGTTCATTTATACTCACTTTGATAACTCTAGTGGGAAACTCATTACAGTCCTTCAGTCCCAACAGGTAGGTAATCCACAGCTCCATAGACAAAAAGCAAGAATTTGCTTCATTGTTCAGAGAAGGGATCAGAGCCCAGAACCAAACTGACAAAACAGAATGAGTCCAGTAAGGCAGACAGGAACCAGAAGACAATATCCTGGAGCACTACAGTTGGGATGCCATCGTAGTCTGACAAAAGGCCATGAAATAAATGCCAAATAATACATTTAGGAGCTGTCTGTTGCTATCACTAGTTTATTATTGTATGATGTTAGTGGCATCAACAGCATCAGTAATAATAGCTTTAGCATCAGTTGTGAATGACAGTAATAGTACCAGTTCTATTGTCCTAGTAGCGGTCTGTCAGTCTGTCTCATGCAGAAGTTATGTTTTCATTTTCACTGATGTGTGTGTTGATTCTTGTAGGAAATATGTTGTCACCCTCTCCATACCATAGGTCATCTACTAACTACAGCAAATGTTAAAGGAAAAGGAAACGGCATTTCTAGTTACTCCTGTAAAATTGCCCATGGTGCCAAGTGGTCTGCACTGTGTGTGTGTGTGTGTGTGTGTAAGAGTCAGAGTGAGGTTTATGGTGGTTTCAGTTTACTGTGTTGTTTAACATGCCAGGCTTTCATTCACAATAACTTCTACCACCCTTGTGGTGGTCTCTCTCTCTCTCTCTCTCTCTCTCTCTCTCTCTCTCACACACACACACACACACTCACATGATGGAAACTGCATATGCCACCCACATGGTGGTCACCCTAACATCTGCTGATGGTTGAAAATGTCAGAAGAGGACCACACACACCCCTGTATCCAAAAAGCTCTAGGTGGACAGAGAGAAGTGTAGTGAACCTTCCTAGTGTTTGGCATTATAAGGCTTCTACCCACACAACACGCCCGTTTTCCTCAGGCTAGCTTGTTAGCATCTATTTGAGTTCACTCTGGTTATTCCCGCAATGTTTTGTGACTTGTATTTTCACTAAATGTTTGTGTGTACTGAGAGATTAGTAGTCAACACGCTGTGTCTGACTGCATTTGTTCTTGCAACAGTAAAATTTCGATTAAGTTTGTCTTACCAATTCTAATTAGCCCAATAAATTCTTGTATAACCGTGCGTCTCCAGCCTGCGCCCCAGCGATATTACGCAAATTAGAAGTCCGGTTTCAGTTAGTTTAACATTTTCCAATTCTTGTCTCTGTCATTTTCTACGGTTAAAGAGTTTGTAAATTGAGTGTATAGTTTGATGTACCGTTTGTGTTTTATTATTCAAATGTTTTCAAAAAGTTGCATGGAGTTCTGTATACCATCACAAGCCCCCACTCATCATATAGTCAGCGTGGTTCATGAGTAACGGCTATTTTACTTTGGGTATTTGATATTAGGCATTTTTGCACCAAAAAGACAGGTGCTGTGGAAGAAGTTCAGTAGATTTTAGCCACTTGCAGTGCAACAAACTGCGATTGCTACATTATTGGCTATATATTAGCAGATTATATTGTTCATTTATACTCACTTTGATAACTCTAGTGGGAAACTCATTACAGTCCTTCAGTCCCAACAGGTAGGTAATCCACAGCTCCATAGACAAAAAGCAAGAATTTGCTTCATTGTTCAGAGAAGGGATCAGAGCCCAGAACCAAACTGACAAAACAGAATGAGTCCAGTAAGGCAGACAGGAACCAGAAGACAATATCCTGGAGCACTACAGTTGGGATGCCATCGTAGTCTGACAAAAGGCCATGAAATAAATGCCAAATAATACATTTAGGAGCTGTCTGTTGCTATCACTAGTTTATTATTGTATGATGTTAGTGGCATCAACAGCATCAGTAATAATAGCTTTAGCATCAGTTGTGAATGACAGTAATAGTACCAGTTCTATTGTCCTAGTAGCGGTCTGTCAGTCTGTCTCATGCAGAAGTTATGTTTTCATTTTCACTGATGTGTGTGTTGATTCTTGTAGGAAATATGTTGTCACCCTCTCCATACCATAGGTCATCTACTAACTACAGCAAATGTTAAAGGAAAAGGAAACGGCATTTCTAGTTACTCCTGTAAAATTGCCCATGGTGCCAAGTGGTCTGCACTGTGTGTGTGTGTGTGTGTGTGTAAGAGTCAGAGTGAGGTTTATGGTGGTTTCAGTTTACTGTGTTGTTTAACATGCCAGGCTTTCATTCACAATAACTTCTACCACCCTTGTGGTGGTCTCTCTCTCTCTCTCTCTCTCTCTCTCTCTCTCTCTCTCTCTCTCACACACACACACACACACTCACATGATGGAAACTGCATATGCCACCCACATGGTGGTCACCCTAACATCTGCTGATGGTTGAAAATGTCAGAAGAGGACCACACACACCCCTGTATCCAAAAAGCTCTAGGTGGACAGAGAGAAGTGTAGTGAACCTTCCTAGTGTTTGGCATTGTGATAACACACACACACACACACACACACACATTTAACCAACCTGTGTTTAACAGCAGTGTTTGCTTTTGTTGGATAAAGAAGCTAACATAGCAGTCTAACCTTGCATGCAGACATGCTTCACTGTGCATGTAAACCAGTCACCCGCAGTGGCTCCAACAGGTCAGTCCTCCTGAGTTTCATCCAACTTGTTGCAGCTGTGTTTCTGGTGAAGGTGTGATTTTTCTAAATTATGTTGCCCATGCCCAGTCAGATTACAGATTACAGCCTTGTAACCAACAACATTTATTACAGTACCTGGTAAATAGCCCAGTAATGGAATATTATGAGACACGATAACTGTTTAATGGCCCTAAGATTTGCTTTGAAATTGACCTTTGAATCATCACAGTGTTCTAAGAGGGAAATCTTTCAAATTGTACCTTTTAAAAGTCTTTATAGGTTAAACAATGTTGTATGAAGCCTTTAGTGTCTCTAGAGGGAGATGTTTGGAATTCCTTTGTTAAAAACTGTCCAAATTGAATCTGTCAGTGTTTTACATCTGCAGTGCTAAATCACTACAGGAGACTTGGGATTACTGAAGCTTTCAAAGACACCTGGCACCTAAATATTTATTATTCTCAAATTCAATAATTGGTTCAATCATCAAAGTGCCAGAGTCTTAAAAAGAATATAATAATAAATCAGGCCTGGAGAGTTGAATGGTCAGGACATATATGATACAATTACAGTATCATCTGTTCAAATCTGTTGCTGCATTTCATATCTATACTGTTGAAGTGCTAAAAAATAAAATAAAAAAAAAATAAAATAGACAATAATAGTAATGATAGGGCTGCTTGTCTGAGCCACGGGGTTCATTTTGGTTTGACAAAAACAAAAAATATTTACACAGTATAAAACAAATGCACTATTGTGGATACAAACTCAGCTGTGTCATCTAATACATGCATAGGAATTATCTTTTGTACTTAGTGGAGGGAGGATCTTTAAGTTTAAACTGTTAAAACAAAAAGAAACTATCCACTGTGTTGCCATTAAGATTTCATAAGCTATAAATTTTTGTTAGTCAGTTCGAATAGTTTTTGTTCCCATTTTATGACGGATGACAGATTTATTAAGGATGTGCAGCTAACAAGTAGCAGGTGATGTCCTGTAGTGAACATCTGTCGGATCATTTTTCCTTTCAGTATGTGCCTTTTTGTGTTGTCTGCACATGTGGCTTGTGCATCACATGTTTTATGATTGTATGGATATTTACCGTAAAAGCTCCAGGGAAGTTTTGCATAAATCAGCTCTGACCCCCTCATTTACTTCACTCAATGTCAAATTAAATACTTGATGTAAATATGGTAAACAAATGTGACCCTGAGGGAGATTGTTGAAATAGATTAGATGAACACCACATTACTGTTGCTGAATATTTGAATGCTGTACAGTAATAGATGGATAGTGAAATCTAATGAACCAGTAATAGATCTATCACAAACTGTCTGCATTCTTGTGTTTCCATGCTAAAAATACTAGTTCTTCTGTTTGAGGATATGTGATTTTCACTGTGTATTGCCCAGTTGCTAGTTCTTCTGTTTGAGGATATGTGATCTTCACTGTGTATTGTGCACCCCCAACATAATGGTTTAAATCACGCATAGCCAGTCATTTAGGATGTCTTTGTCAGTGTAATAAAGCCTTTCTGGGTCGGACAAAGGACAACATTCTTTTGGAGCATCAGCTAGAGTAGAGGAAGTGTCATGAGCTTAACTCGTGACTTCTCTAGGGTACACAAGGCCCTCAATCACAAATAGAAATATCTGAGCAGTTTCCAAATGCTAATCGGGGCCAGCTCTACTGAGGCCTCACGTGATGGAGGAGAGATTCCTGACAGTCCCTCAGAGGAATGTTTGAACAGCAAGAAATACTGGATGAAGGAAAATTTGATGTGTGATGCAACACAGAGAATTGCCTGCAGAAAAGGGCTCAGGTTGGCTTTCCTTTAGCCAAGCTGCGCAGTAGATTATCTGTGGGTATCCATTATCCTGAGGAATAAAAGGGTCTTCTGGATATGAATGCTTTGAGCTCTTAAGAATTTCATTATGTATTTAGACTTAGGCCTAAATACTGTCATGGCTGCCTTCAGGACAATCTTTTTACATGAGTGTATGTAAAGGAAAATGTCATGTAGGTGGATGTGTGCATGCATGTTTGTGACATTATAAGCATCCCATAATTTTCTCTTATTGCCTCTGGGACCCCTGACTCCTACAAACCACTTGTACAGCTGCTTTCATGACATTTGAGACCGGGACACATTCACAGCTTGGCCATAATCTGTTTCCCATGGAAATGGAAATAGTCGACTGTGCTGAAATACATTTGTGACATAAAGTGGCTGTTTGTTGTATCTTGCTGCATCTGTTTTGCACCCAAAAGTGCCGTTTTACTACTGTTCTTCATCAGTATATACTACATGTGCAGTGCATTTACACTATGCAGTACATAGTGTTCTGACTCCAGCACCTAGAAAACATCACATTTGACCGCACACAACTAAACATGGTGTATTGTTTATTCTTGTATGATCACAATGACCAGAAATCCACTAAGTGTGGTACAGTAAATATTTGATCCCATTGCTTTTTGACCATTTGTTGATGAGCACCAGATTGTGCAAACTGTCAAAAGTATTTTGTGGGTAAAATGTAAATGGATGTTTTCAGATGATGACAAAGCAGAAGAGAAATATGTGTTTACTTCAATAACCAAATTGCAGGTTTTTAATGTTGAGAAACTGTCACGACTCGTCCTCTCGGTTACCACAGCTGTCTCCCAAGTGAGTCCTGCAGGACTCGTACACAATTTGGGCTGTTTTACCGAATGAGAGAAGCAATGAGAGAAAACCCACCAACCCACAACAAGACAACTGTCACACTGCTGCTAAATTACAATGAAGAACTTTAGCTGTTATATTCAAACTGGTTGTTTGTTGAGGCAGGAGACAGAAGGTGAATGACAAATGTAGTTCATACACAGAACATCTCTATTTGCATCTCTGTAAGAGGGGATCAGAGGAGCAGTTTCCATCTTAATGACAAAATCCAGGGACTTTACCTCTCAACAGGTAAAAACAAATGCTGTTTGGGAATTTGATCCTTAAACCTACATATTTGCAGAGTTGTTGACACCGAATTGGACAAGAGTTTCACTAAATGAAGATTTGGACTGTTTGTGTTCTTCTTTTTTCGGTTGTTCCCGTTAGGGGTCGCCACAGCGAATCATCTGTTTCCACCTAACTTTATCCTCGGCATCCTCTACTCTCACCCCAGTTTAGCTTCATGTCCTCTTTTAGCACATCCATAGATCTCCTCTTTGGCCTTCCGCTTGACCTCTTGCCTGGCAGCTCCATCTCAAAACATCCTTCTACCAATATAACCACTATCCCTCCTCTGCACATGTCCAGACCATCTCAATCTGGCCTCTCTGACCTTGTCCCTAAAACAGCCGACCTGAGCTGTCCCTCTGATGTGCTCATTCCTAATCCTGTCCATCCTGGTCCTTCCTAAAGAGAACCTTAACATCCTCATCTCTGCTACCTCCATCTCTGCCTCTTGTCTTTTCCTCACTGCTACAGTCTCTAACCCATACAGCATAGCTAGTCTCACTACTGTCTGTGGGGAAAAATGCACAAATCACATTTATTGCATATTTTGTCTAGAATTTGAAGTTTTTGTGTAATGTTCAGATTTTTTACACATTTTTACACAATTAAAAAAAAAAACCTCAAACACATGGTTATAATAATACCAGACCTTATTTTTCATCAAGCAAATAAACTTGTAATACTTTGTCTCTGTATAACTGTGTGGTAATTTATTGAAATATTTGAATTTCAGAGCATCTGCAGGAAGCCATTTTGCAAGTAAATGAGTTCTCCCCTGGTGAAATACAGCAGTGGAACTGGGATGCTGCTCAAGGTAAACGGGTGTAAAGTGAAAATTGCAAGTTTGTATTATGCATAAGCTTTTGTGCACTTTCTCCCCAATGCAGTCTGTATCATATGTAAGGAGAACTGAGTATAACATTTAGCCTGTGAAATCTGACATAAGCACACAGAGCTCAGGAAGGCGGTGTCCTCCCATAGTGGCTTTAACACTGTGTGGGCTGTGGCAGCAGGCCAGGGATCACTAGTGCTTCTTGCTGCTGCTTCACTTCCACAAATAAGTGAGACAATACAACAATAAACATGCCTGGTTCAAGATCTGATTTGATACTTTTGGACATGCATAATTGTTTTCTCTCTAAGAGTTGCATGAAAATACTGATATTACTCTCATCTGTGTTAAGTATGGAGAGCTGAGAGGTGATTAACATAGCTTAGCATAAGGACTGGGAACCTGGCTCTCTCCACAGCTCAGCTAACAGCACCTCTAAAGCTAACTTAACATTTTGTATCATATTTGTCTTACAGAAACAGAAATGTTAAAGTAATGATTTCTGGGGAATTGGCCTACATGTAACAATTTCTTGACAAATAAAAATTAATCCAGCTGGCCAGCACTTCTGTGCACTGTCTCAGAGGTAGCACTAGTTTCCTGGCAATCCCACTGTATATCAGGAAGTCAGCTAACTCTCAGCAAATAGTAATTTCTGCCCTTTTGTTTGTGTGTGAATTAAACAAAAAGAGGTGCTGGCAGGCAGGATTCAGACGGCTCCTCGTGACTTTGCAGACATACTCATGCACTGAGCTGCAGCTCTCACAGCCTCCTCACAGCCTCGTCACATCAGTCACTGCCAACAGAAAGCCTCAAGACTGATGACTCGGGGTTCTAAAGGTCTGTACTAGCCTTTTTTCATGTCTGAAGCAGAACTGCTTACACATACAGTAAAGTATTCACCATCTTAAAAGTACACTGTACAGAAAGCGTGTAGTCACTCCACACTTCCAACTCAACATTGAAAACGGCAATGAAGCACTAAAGAATCAATACAGGCTTCCTCCTATGTGAGCAGTACTCACACCTCAACAACAAAATAAACGGATTATCTTTTAACCATAAAGATTAATATTGTTTAATTTTAAAGCAGCATTTTGGGGTCTCACTCCGACATTATGTGGACTTTGTACTAGGGACTTGGCACAGTAAAGTCTGCTTTTTAGATTTTTAGTGATGTGAAAACAGTAAAGTTTGGGGCTGTATAACAAAAGCAGTGAGCTGAAAGATGAAAAATGTGGCATAAAACTGAGGGGAACCGCAGAGAAAGAGTGATAATTCTTTGTGATTTATTACTACATTACATCTTGTCATTTGACTTGCTGTTATTATAAAAATATTAGTGCAGTTTAAGCACAAGGGTATCAGATAAGGAAATGCTTATGAATTGCTTTTGGAACCATCATCATTTTGGGAGGCAGTGACTTGCACTTATTGGCAGCAGTACAGTATGTTATCACTCCCATAGGCACAGCAGGAAACGTTCTTCATATGAATCATGGTCCTATATGTTTTCCTTGCTGATTCAATACACACATTGCAGCAGGTGTGATTCTCTGTCCTCACCCATATACAGAATAACAATTACCTGGGCCAGAGTGAAAGGCCAAGTATGTTTGTACAGCTGTCTACATAATGAGCTCTTTGGGGACCTGTCAAGTCAATAGTTAGCTAACGTCTAAAATTGTATGGGTGTGTTTAGGTTTGGTCATGTCTCTTTGTGCCCGGCTGATTTAATGTCATTAAGACTGAAAATACACAACTTGACCTTGGAATTAAAGTGATAGTGAGGGCTGGGAGAAAGTATGATTTTTAAAAGAGGGATATGAAGAAGGGAGAAAAATGACAAGATCAAAAGCTCAAGATCAAATGGGTTTGCAAAATATACAGTATCATTTGAGAGACTGTGAAAATGGAAAAAGTCTTGAAGGGGCACCTTTCTGTTGGACCAGAAACAAAATGACTTCACAATTCATCATGGTGATGAAGTAAGGTCATATAGTTTTTTGTTTTCTGTTTAAATCGGTGTAGAAGAACATTTGGGGAACATTCCAGTGCTCCTCTATGTTAGTGGGCATGCAGACTGTGTGGTAAAAAGCAACTCCCTGCTGTTTTTCAGCAAGGGGCTGCATTGGTCTGGGGGTGAGGGTTTGCAGAGGGAGTGTGTTGTAGGCGTGTACAATACAGCCTTGTTGTAATGAGTCCTGCATGTGTGGCTGTGGCCCAGTTCGACAGTGAATAGCAGTGCTCATGCTAACAAGGTAAACAGTCTTCTTTCCAGGGGTGTCCACGTTCTGACCATCCCCAATACATGATTGGTCAATGCAGCACCTCTGCCAGATGACGTCACTGTCTGGTGCGGCAAAGGTTTAACCAGATCCAGAGCTGCTTGGTAGTCTGTGTGGGAGATTTTTATGTTATACAACCTTCAGGTTAATTAAATCATTTTAGACACATTTTATACCCAAGCCTCCAAAGTTAAGACGTACTGTAGCTCCTTTTCAGACCCACCAAAAAGATGGAAGAGGTTTTCATCTGACAGTAACCCCTGATGGAGATTTCTGGTTTTTCCAGTCAAAGCAGCTTGTTTACAGGAGTCTAGGACTAAAGATCCTGAGCCACTATATTAACTGTAAGTAGAGACCTTAAAACCCCTGTTCTGGTGACCTCTGGCAGTTTAAAACATCTCAAATATATCTTGAAAGTAAGTGTGTGGTATACAGGGCTAACCAAAATTAAGAAGTAATCCCTGCCAGTTTAAACAGGCATCAGTTCCTCTGCCCCTTTTCCCATATTACCCAAGAAAACCATAGTTTGATTAGGACTGTTGCTAAAACATGAATCACTTCATGCTGCTGTGTGGATACCCGAAGTGAGCCCAATGGGTTCTGTTGGTACCTGAGAGTTTGGGATTCAGATTCACACAGAAATTTAGAAATTATGCTGTGTCGGATTCGGACATATAGGTCAAACTTTAGGCTAGACGGCTGAGACACTCAAATGTCTGCTTTGTTTAATGATAAATCCCCATACAAAATCAACTGCATCGGATTCAGACGTTACAGACTATAAGCTTGTTGGGTCCGTGTCGGATTCTGACACCACAGTCTCGGGCAGGGATCAGGTTCCGATCCATGCTTTACCAATGTCACTGAGTTTGAGATACTTAGCGAGGTTAAAAGAGTAAGTAATAATGTACATTATGTATCTCCATAGTGATGACGAAATAAAGCGAGGTGTACTTGTGTCTGAGCTATTCTGGGTCAACTTGGTGCTGGCATCGCTACACTGGCTCCTGTTTGTTAGGACTGAATTCAAGGTACACCTAATTACTTTAAAGACAACTAACTCTTGTAAAGATAATGCATTTCTGAATTGGGATCACTATTGCTGAATTTTCTGCAGTTTGCCATGAAATAGAGCACATAATCCCCCTTAATACCACAAAGTCTTTTTTGTGTACAGATCAAACAAATGAGATACAAGGTGTTAATGACCTTAATAAAGAGCCACACTAGCTGTTGCTCCTGATTCCAGTCCTTATGCTACGATAGCCTAAAGTTAAATATTCAAAGGCCAACTCCTGCCTTTAAACTTTAACAGAAGTGTGTTTAGCTATTAGCTCTGCATCTATTTGTCTAAGACTCTGCTCCCACCACTTTTTTGTCTCTCTGTCTCATATTGTCTCTTTGCTCTGTGTTTGTTTGGATGGGGTAACATCTGTTAATTCTGTGGCCTCCACATTCCTCCTCAGTTACTGGTAATTTTGGCTTCACATTGGAAATACTTGTCTACTGGAGGTCTCCCCCACCACAAGACTAGTAAAAACAAAAGCAGATTCAAGAATGTCTAAAATGAAAATTCATCAGAAAATCAAATGTATAAGAGTTATCTTCGATTTAATCTCAGCTGTATTTTCCTGCTTCATGAATCAGACAGGACAGCAATTTCACACTTTTGATTCTGTGTCAAATGCTCCATGCCCATAACTCATGGACCTGTGGAGTGCAGGAATAAGGGATTTGGGTGGATTTATAAGGAAGTTTTTGTTGGAGATCAAGTTCATAACATCACACACAGCCTGTCAAGTACAAGCACTGAGAAAGAGAGAGACATTCTGTGAAAATATTCAGCGGGTGATCAGGGCTGTCGCCACAGGCTGCTGCAGGGAGGTTATCATCTGTTTTATACAACAACACATCTGCTAGTCACTGTCAAACATTAATGATGAAATTGTGATTTTCGGTATGTTGTGCTTCCTATCTCCACTGTTGTGGACGTTATTTAGATTAGTAATGTAATTTTCTATACTGTGCTGTATTTTAGCATATAAAATGTAAAACTACACAGTCTAATATCTCTGGGTCAAACCTCAGACCTCAAAAATCTAAACTGAGGAATTGGCATGTGCTTTTGATTAATGACACGACCACTCCCTTTCTTTCACAGGGCAACAATAACACTCTGCTTTGGAGGTATGGCAGGATACAGACAAGACAAATAGTGTTTAAAATACTTTTACTGGAGTTCAATGCAAGCTAGTCTCATAACAACAACACAAAAGTTTAAAAAAATAGTATATTTCCTTTTTATGTAACATTTTTTGAAGATGTGTGATTACATGTGCTGCACAAGACTTGGACCTTCTTAAAAAGCAGGACCCTGGTATCACAAATGTTAATAGTAGAAACCGTGGCAAGTGAAACACTCCTGTTTCAGAAAAACTATAACTCCATCTTTGCTCTATTTTTATTACTTGACATGTCTACAAACATTATTATTCATTTATATGTTGACTGAATTCACAGCCTTTCTATCCTTCATATATCTTAAAACACTAGTTTTGTATTTTGCAAAATATGCATATGTATTAGATGAGAGGATTGATACCCCTCTTCTCTTGGTGTTGGAGACAGTTAGCTTAGCTTAGCATAAAGACTGGAAAACAGCTAGCTTGGCTTTCACCAAAGTTTAAAAATAAGCCTTCATGTATCTCTAAATCCTGAAAATCCACATTGTATTTCAGAAACACAAAAATGGCTATTTATGGTTTTGAGTGGAGTTAATATGCTGAAGCTATGTTTTAGCAAACAACCGCTTCCTGTTGTGTTAGCTGTCCTACGACCCTCTTCAGGATAAGTGATATGCACTAGATAATGGATGGATGGATGTTTCCCACTTCTTCTAGTCTTTATGCTAAGCTGTTAATCAGATCCTGCCTTCAGCTTTATGCTACAGTGAAGGAGTAAATTTCCTGCCATTATGTTTTCCCAAGCATGCCAACAGGAGTCAACAAGAGAATTACTCTTTGCATTTGTCCAACAACAGCAACAACAGACGTAAAAGCTGTGTACAATGTAAAACTAACTTGCAACTGACAGTTCGGCGGTTTTACTGACTCAACTGCAGTACATAAAATGACAGTTTTGTGCAACAGATGAAAAGTCTTCAGAGTACCTGCTCTGAAATGCTTAAATGTAAGCAAACCAACTTTAATTTTAATGCTTCAAAACCCATTAAAGTGCTATCTATCAGAAAAGGATGCATCATTGTGTAAATAATACATTTGTGTGTCCATATAGTGGTGCATGGGAATATAAACCTTTTGATTAGTGTGGATGTGAAAACACCACTACTTAAGTCCAGATTTGTGGTTAACAGACTTATTGTTCATCATAATCTGTGAGGTTGTGTTGGTTTAACAACAACAACACATTTTTTGTTTCCAGTACATTCAAATTAAGATTTGTAAATCAGTGATGTCTTTTGTATTAATCTCAAAATCAAAGACATTTTTAATTCTCATAAAAGATCTTTTTGTTTCTTCTTGCTTTTATATGGACCACCAGGTTGGTGAGTTTGTTATAGTTATACAGTAATAGAACCATGTGTTCCCTACAAACCACCATAAAAAATTCAAAGCCTGTCCAAACAGTCCATTTTCAAACCCCATTTCTAAATTGTCTACAACATTACAGTCTGTGGCAGTAGTTCTGTGTTCAGACCTTCCTCTTGGTTAATTTCATGTGACCATGTAGTGCCTTTTTTTAAAAGCTCTCTCTCTAATGTATTCTCCATTGTTCTCGCTATTTTGCACAATCCTGTAGAAATGGATTATCGTGTCTCTAGTCACAATGGATGAAATTCCTTCACTTCATATGACTACGATTCTTACCTGAATCCATATCTCCATCCACCTCTCTACTGTCTTTTGGACCCAGCAGTAGGTCTCAAGGTCCCCGGCTGACATTCTAAATGATCATGGGGGTAAGGCAAGCCTGGAGGTCCAGGTATTCCAGGTGGTCCAGGTGGCCCTACTATCCCTGGTATTCCCCTTGGCCCTGTTGGCCCAATAATGCCTGGAAGCCCTGTCTGACCTTGAATCCCTGGAGGCCCTGCGGGCCCTGGATCTCCGTCTTTACCGGAGGAGCCTATGTCACCTTTCTGGCCCTTCTCACCACGTAGACCTGGTGTACCAAGAGACCCTTTGGCTCCTTTTATCCCCACTGCCCCTCTATTGCCACTGGGACCTGGTTCACCCGGTGCTCCTTTGGGCCCATGAGAGCCCTTCTCTCCAGCAGCTCCACGGCTTCCTACGGGGCCTTGGTCACCTTTGCTCCCAGTCAGTCCCATGGGTCCTTTTGATCCAGTCTCACCACGGTTCCCTTTGGGCCCTGGTGGTCCAGGTGCACCTATTGATGAAGTACATGAGGTGATGTTAAAATCTAAAGTGTGCACAAGCTGTTATGTTTTTGTGTATGACATCTACTGTACCTTTTAGTATGGTGAAGTTCTTTATGAGCTGGGTATGGTGAATATCCACAAGCTTCATCTCCTCCATCACCATGGACAAGTTCCTGACATCCATTTCTAATCGAACATTTAACAAGATGTTCTGCTGCCTCAGTGTGTCGGCCAAGTGGACCAGTAACAAGACTGTGTTGTTCAGGTTCTGCAGAAAGTATTTAAGGAACAGAACAGAATAAGCAAGAAGAAAGCAAAGAACAAGAAGGAGAACAACAACTATAAACAGGAGGAGGGAAAAGTCTGTTAAGGTTAAGTACAGAATAGCTTCATCCCAAGTCAGCTTACACAGCCTGTCAGAGTAACTTCAGCCAATAATCTCCTCCCCACCCTGTGCAGCAGTGATGTACCATGGTATCATAATACCAAACTACATCACAGCTGGGTGTAGTCACAAGCACACAGCTATGAGGAGGTTGAATGTGGTCAAAGGTTCAGTAGGCTCTAGCTAGACATGCTAGCTAAAGTACCTTGCCATAGATGCATCAAAACAACAGCACCCGTTATTTTTTACGCAAGCTTACACACAAGTTGTTCTGGCATTAGACCAATCAAATTCCACAACCGCTGGCAGGTAAGGTGTGTCTAATGTTAGATGTACTGTGATTCAGTGGGTAGAGCAGTCGTCTCCCAACCAGAGGGTTGGAGGTTCGAATCACGGTGCCTTCAGTCCACATGTTGATGTGTTCTTGGGCAAGACACTGAACCCCCAAGTTGCCCCCAATGCTTAGAGCCATCGGTTGAGTTGGCACCACAGGTGACTGCCTTGGTTCTGTACCAGAAACAAATTCCTTCTGTGTAACATGCTTGGCCAAATAAAGGTGATTATTATGTAGATGTCACAATATTTATCTCTCAGTGCATCCATGGTGACGTACTCAGGCTAGCATTGAGGAGCTATTAATAAAAAAAGTGCTGTGCTGTGATATATAATAATTTCTTCCTGTACAAGACTAGAGTTTTAATTTTCATTTCTTTGTGTACTCGATGAATATATCAGCATCAAATTGTAAAATAATTCTGAGTTCTTAAATAGGTCTTATGTGGTTACAACCTGTAGATCTTCATTGTGTCTGCTCAGGCGACTCTGACAGGATGAGCTCTCGATGTTGATGTACTTGTACATGCTCTGGACGTGGCTGACGGTGGCATTGATGCTGAAGGAGACTGTGTCGATCTCCATTTTGATAGAGTTGAGACGACCATCCAAAGCAAAGAAACGCTCACCTGTCCTGTTCTCATAGTACCTAAAGAGGATGGTTGAGTTTTCATGTGTACATAATGATAGTACTGTCTTTCTGGGTTGAGTGTGGGAGCCCATCTCCCATCTGGGGACAAAAATCTGATCCCCACAATATTTACAGTTTATGTAGACATAGGTTAAGATTAGGATTAGGCTGAAAGTAGGGAACAGTCATATGAGATATTATAAGCCTTTATGTTACTTGGAATGGTAGCGAAGGTCATGCATGTTCTCCTCGTGTTCATCCATGAAAGAAGTCACATTGTCAAGCTGCATCTGCAGGTTCATCACCTGGGGAAAATACACACATAGGTAAACTTATATTGCTGTACCTATGAGGACCCTCATTTACATAATGCATTACCAAGACCTTTATCCTTTTACTTAAACATCACAACTTTATGCCTAAAGACAGCTGTTTCTTCAGCTTTAAACTAAACATTTTAATTTTAACTCTAACACCAAGGTTTAACCCTCAAACAAATTTTTGAAAAGGTCCAGACTAGCCAAAATGTTCTCAGTTTCCAAATGTTGGCACTTTCAGTGTTCAGATTGGCCTCCAGTTTGGTGTACAAGTACCTGTACAATGCAGGGATGTTTCTTCTTAACAGTTTGTTTCTGTACAGTCCCTTCACAAACTATAAAAATTGTAGGATGCTAAATATAAAATGAATCTATTAGAACTTCTTCCTAAATGTGTTTTTAATTTACTTATGGAAATGTTGAACAGGTGGTGCAAATGCAAACACACCTGATGAGTCAGGTCATAGTACATCTCGTAGAATATGCTGATTCTCTGGTGATCTGCTGCGATGTTGTTTTGGAGGGAGCGCATGGTTTGTGTGATGCTGCTTGAGTTGAATTTGATGGCAGTCAGAACACGGCTGTAATTTTGCCAGTCGCTGGTCAGCCTCTGGAGGACCAGACTCTCCTCCTCTGCTTTCCTCTGCAGGGCATCTATCCACATTGTACTGGAGAGCAGAGCACAGAAGAAATGTGAGAGGAAGTGGATAAAAAAATCAAGTTGTTTGCCTTATTCTGCTTCGTAGCCATGCTAGTGCAGAGGGCAGTGTCTGTTTGCCCATCACTTTGGTTTGGAAACTTTGTAGATATTCATCATCCCCAGAAAATGAATCTTAACTTTGGTGACCCTCAGACCTTTTCTCTAGCACCACCAACAGGTTGGCATTTTTGGTTTTGTTTGAAATGGCTCAACAACAATTGGATAGCTTGCCTGAAATTTGGAATAGATTTTGTATATAGTCTGTATATACAGTAGATGCTTTTTTCAAAATGACATCTTCACCATCCATTTAAAATAAATGTGTCACTCTGTCATAGTATGTGTTTTCTGCCAGGTTTTAAGTATAAAATAGAGAAAGAGGTCAGCATCTCTCTCTCTTCTTTGCATTGTTTCATTCACCTCAGTGCCACCGTTGTGTTAACTTGCTGTGCTGTAACTTTGATGTCATACTGATCCTGCGTCACAGTTTTCATCTTCTCCACAGTTTCCTTGATTACATCCTCCCAGCCCTCGACCTGATTCAGGTATTGTTCCAGTGACTGGTTGAGAAGTTTGATCGAAATGAGGTGGTTTTGTATGTCACGTGTCAGGCGGTTGCTGGTATCCCTTAGAGTGGTCTGGATTTGGGAGGCCTGGTCCAGGACCTGGAGGGGAAAGGAGGTCAAAGTATGAGAGTGAAAGATGAGAAAGGAAATGAGTGATAGGCAGCACCTTTTTTTTTCCTCTTGTGCTGTCCTAAGTATTTTGCAGACTAGAACATTTGTGGGTTTAGGACAAAACAAGCAGTTTGAACATTTGTGATCCACTACACCTGCTCTTGGCCCAGTATCATTTTCTGGATGTCTTCAAACTCTCTCTTCAGCCTGCTGAGCTCCTCGTTGCACAGAGCCACATCAAGACAGCCTGAACAATTAGAGGTGGAGCTCAGATCTGACAGATGGAGAAAGGGCAATGGGACAGTAAGCGAGTATTAGCATCTGGTCGCCATATGTGTGTTTAGCAAGAAGAGAGAGAAAATCCTTTGAGGTCCCCTGACATTACACTCAGTCATCTGTACTGTTTCACAGACCATGATTGACCATTAAACTAGCATAAATTAGAAACATACAAGTAAATACAACTAAAATACCTCAAAATTATAAAGTTCAGTTCCTGAGTAAGTAAAATTATACAAAATAGTGATTTTTTTTTTTTTATCTATTTATTGGAGGCAATTTAAATGCACCACATATATTCGCACCAAAAGTGATGCAAATATGGAATGTAATACTTTAAAAGGTGGTGGTGGTACAAAAGTCCACATCAAGCAGTGATGACCTTCAGGTTCTGCTAAATAAAAGGAGTGTGTCCTGTATTGATAAAAAGGCAATTTGGAAAGTTTCACTGCTGGGTGCAGGGGTAGAAACAGTACCATGGTAATTTTTGGACCTACTGGACTTCAGGATGACTATGGGACGATTTGAGTTTGAGGAGTTATTGCTGCTGCCACAGCACTCGAAGAGGCAGAGGAGCAATTACAATGATCCAATAGAGCTGGAATAGCACACAGCCGTATGTCTGAGGTACAATATATACTGAACACAGTTTTAATAAATACAGTAAATCAGACAGGCTTAACTGACTGGTGCTGTTGTCAGCAAAAAGAAAGCAATACATTTTACTTTTTGCTCAGTGATATTCCATCGTTGATGTGCAAGGGTTCATTGACAGAAAATTGGTTCAACCTTTAGACTTAGTTACTTTCCACTACTAGCTGTTGTTTCCCATGATGTTCAGGTCTGTGAGGCCTCCCTGACTTAATATACTGGTAAAAAATTACTATCTCCAGCTACTTTACCATCTATTCCTTGTTGAATCCTGGTGATCTTCTTGTAGTAGACGGACTCCTCCATTACCAGGTTGTCAACCTTCCTGAACACTGGAGACACAGGAAAGTTGATAAAGGGTACATATCCAGCAATTTAAATAAAAATGTATTATTTCAGAAATCAGGATTAGCATTTCAGTGAAGAAAGTAATACTCCGATAAACATGTCACATTTTTTGTTTTTGCAAAAGTTAATACAGGTCAATAGGGAATTAAACCATTAGCTTTAAACATGCAAAATAAATGCTAATCAAAAACATCAGGGAGTAAAAAATGCAGCTGAGCAAATACTAAAATGATTAACATCAGCTGGACCTTGGTATTAGGAAGTATTTAAATGAGTAAAGACAGAAAATTGTGATTTAAGCCCTGATAACAAAACAGCTAAAGTTTTCATTTGTTAAAAAATGAACCCCAAACACTGATGAAAGATGGTTTAGCCAAATGGCCAGATCCTACTCCCCCAACATATTTCCCAAGAGATCCATAAAAGTTTAGTTGGTGTGTGTTTTTGCATATACAGATGCAATTTGTGTGGTGTTTTGCAGACATTTTCAGCACCATAATCCCTGACTTGGGGGATTAATGCAGTTCTGTTTCATAGTGTGTTTGCGTACATAAATGCTTCCACATGCGTTCTGCACATACCACCTGCTGTAGCGCATTAGCGGCTGTGAGAGTAATTTATATTTCACTCCAAAAATTCATTTCTTTCATGATAAAAGGAGCTAAAATAACTTTATTCCATACTTGTTGCTTGGCAGATTTTAGCTGAATAATTTGTTATAAACCCGATATATATCAAAGGTTACCGTTTTTTTTTTTTTCCTTGTTCACGTGCAGGAGTTTTAAACCCATTACAGGACACAGCATGCATGTTCCATGGGCCATGATTTACTGAGAAACATATATGTAAAGTCTGACCTTTTTCACCCATACTTTTTAATGCATAGTAGGTAACATTATATTTTCCATCTAAAAAATAAATTTTCAGACAGATAAATGGCACAAAGTGAAACTCAAAGTGATCTCACCAAGTGATGCCAGCACTGCCACAATAATGACGAGGAATGCAACAAATCCATAGAGGACCCTGACAGCCAGCTGCAGAGAGTGGCTCTGCTGGCATTTCACACAGCCACCTCTGGTACGACCTGGCAATACAGTGAGTGAACAGACACAGTCTAATGTATGAGAGTGACTGACTAAATGAAAATAGCAACATCTGTTTGTATTTCATCTGGTTGAATTATTGAATATTGAGTCTAACCACCAAAGCGTTCACATCTTTTACTTAAAGAATAAGGTCATTTTCTATATTAATGGTATTTTCAGCAATCTCCATGCAGAGACTAAAACCAGCAGTGAATTAGTCTACTCTGTTTGTGGGTAACTTCTGTCAGTCTCCAACCTGGATTGGCTTATTTGTTTGTCCACTGATGTTCAAAAACACATCAGGGGAGCACACCTCTGTACCAGGTGTTATGTTTCTATAGAAAATAGCCAGCCTTATCCTTAAAGTAAATGTACAATAGTATTTTAGTCGCATAAGTAAAAATACTCATTATCCAGGTCTTTAACTTGCATGGAGTAAGAGTGCAATGAAGAATCAGACTCTGCAAAGTCCTAATTGTAGCTATCTGTAACTGAATAAAAAACATATTTCCTAATCAGAATATTTTAATGGCGGATGTACAAAACACATACAAGGAGCCTGGAAGTCTAACTGTCATTGGTGGAGGAAAAAACACACTATAGATGACCACTGTTGGACTTGCTTGTGTGCATGTGTATGTGGCCTTCACCTCTGAATGTAGGCATTTCCTCCTCCTCTCCATTGAGATCCTCTTCTGAAATGAATGAATGACAGACATTGGATGACATGTAGGAGTTTCTAGACTTTTGTTGATGTGAATGGTGGCGTATGGCTCATGTACCTTTCTCTGAAACCAGTTAAGCTGATTCTTAATGATTTTTATATGATTAAAACCCTCAATCTGTCGCTTTGTGCATACAGTAGTAGCCTATACAGTATGTGTATGCAGATCCAAGTGAGCCCAGACTGATGATGATGTGTTATGAAATGTTTGACTTGTTTGACATAGAACAGCTCATTACCTTTGAAAAGCTCGTTCTCGTATCCACCACAGTTTTCTGCCAAAAAGAAATGAAAGAAAGAAACAGGCATTTAGAAAAATAAAGATGATTGAAAGAAATTGTACTGGAGTGACCAACAAGTTCTTTTTACCCCCTGTCATTCATAACACAGCTGCCTCACCATCCCCACAGCCTCCCCCTGAAGTCTGTGTTGTAGTGAATGTGTTCACTACAAAAATGTTGTTTTTTCTTTTTTTTTTGTTCTGCTCAGATGTTTTCTCTGAGCTGTTCTTCAGTCAGGAGAAAACAGCCCCATATGGTGCGCAGTATGTGAACAGTTGTTTTGTGTGCTGATTTTATGTGGGAATATTGTGTGTTTAGTGTGTGTCTGAGGAGACTGTCATTACGCAGTCTGGCTGAGTTAAGTTCACAGAACGTAACAAGATGGCTTAATAAACCACACAGTGCCTGTTTACTTTAAAGTCCAAGAATACATTTGACTTCATGTTTTCATAACTGTATGTAACAGCAATAGACTTAATACAACAACTGTACACAATTCCAAGTGCTGCCTAACCTCACACCTGAGACACTGTGGGTGTGGAGCTTGGTGTTTAAGAAACCACAACGCTGAGTGTGACCGTGAGAAACGCTGTTTCTAATAAAAGAAAAGAACTGGAAATGCACAGACAGGAAAAATGGACATGCAACAAGCTTTCTGCTTGTTACATGCAGCAACTGGACTAGATGGATGTTGTGGTTTTCATTATTAGGGCTGCGAATTGCTAATGTACAGATGCATAAAGTGTCAGTTGTACTGTACAATGTTGGTTCCTTTTATTTTTATGTCAGTGAAAACTTGTGGATTTTCTGATTTAGTTCATATTGACTTGTCAGAAGAGCTGTTTCCATTCCATTACTCAAGGCAAAACAAAATGATCCAAAATTTCTGAAACCAGACTGCCTGCTGTGGATTGACCTTTGGTTAACCACATGATCAGCTGAACATGAAAAGAGTTTGGGCATCTGGCAGGGCGAGGTTCAGAGAAAAACGAATAGGAGGAGAATAAAACTGCACATAATATCTGGCGAAGCTCCACAGTAGGTGTCAGCAACATTATGTGTTTGTTTTAACAGATGTTACTGCACAAGTGAGGTGAAATTTACTTCTGTTCCCTGTTTATGAGAAACAAAATGTTTTCTACAGTTGAAATTTTTGTTTAACTTTGGCTAAATCTAAAAAAAACAAAGCAGTTTTAATAGAACAAAGTACACTTGGCCTGCAAACACCACGATGAGGTGAGTGTTTTTGTGAGTGAGTTGGTGGAACAGCTGAGGTTAGGTCTGGGTGGACAAGTCTCAAAATACTGAGGCTGACATAATGATGGAGGGAGGGTGGAGAGGAAAACAGGAGGGGAGGTGATGGCAACCACCTCCAAAGAGCTAAAAGACTGGAATAACGAAAGAACAGACAGAAAGTAAGAATGTCCACAGAGAGAACTGCAGTTACCAAACTATGTCATTGTAGCTGACAAGGTCAAGAAGGTAGGTGACTACACCAGCTCTGTCAGGATTACGCTGATGTTTGCTGATGTATCGACCAGTATTTACCTTTAAACATAGGCAACGTCTTTGTGGAGCACATCATTTCATTTGTGCCGTGATTCAAACTTTTGAACCCACTGTACACTGTAAAACATGATACAGGCGTTTCTAAGGGAATCAACTAAGCTTTTCTCATTATCTTAATGTAAATATGTACATTTTGTTCATTTCACTTCACAATGGCAGCTGAAAGTGAGCAGGTCATGGAGTTGAAACTAATAGATGCTGAACAGAAGTAGCACACACAGTACTACAGGCAGGGTATTATGCTGGTCTTACTAGACTAAACTCTGTTTCACAGACTCCACCCTGAGTGAAACACATTTACTGAGACTCAAATTCTTGCCTTTTTTTTTTTTTTTTTTTGGACGTCTGTGGCAAGAAAATGGTCAGATTCAAATGTTTATAATGTCAGCACATTATTTGCTATTGGAAGCTGAGATTCCAAAGTATCTCTATCAGTATCCACCCTCAAATATCCATCAGCTGCTCAGGGGTGTTTGACCTCCTTCACCTCGCCCCCCCCCTGCCCTATATGCGCAGCCCTTTTCTCTCCTTATGTTTTTCCTGTTCACTGTGGAAGAAGCCTTCATGTCTGTCTCGTTAACGAGGAAGTCAACCTGTCCAATACACACAAAGCAGAACCGAGCTGATCCGACAGCAGGCCACACCTATGCAGTCAGGCCATAGCAAAACATTATTAAAAGTGTATTTGATTCTTTGGACAGATGGTTTCTTTGCCGATTTTACACTTTGTTTCGATTATGTTTAAAATTTTATGTGAATTGGAGGCTTAATCTTCTTAATTTTTAAGGGGTCAGAAATCTGATGCAGCAAAGGATTTTTTTCCAAGCATGGAGAATCTGCACAAACTTCCCAACTTGTACCAACAAGATCCAGCTGGTTTGGATTTCTGTGTTCTAACTTTTCTTAACAAACCACTTTAGGGTTGTGCAAAATGTGAGTAACCTGCTCTCTGACCTCACCACATTGCATCATGATGTGCATGCAAAGAGGCATGCCCTCTCCACATAAAGATGCATAGATGCATGTTTTCCATTGTTCCTTTCTTTCATAAGTTCATTTAAGGTCTTCTGACCAAGAAACCCCCTTCAAGAGCCTCAGCCAATCCAAGTCTTAAATGAAGCCAGACGTCATCAGACGGACTCTGCTCCAGATCAGAGTGGAGGTCTTGACCACAGCTCTTAAAGCCAAACGAGTCCCTTTCCAAACCTCTGTTGACATCCAAGTCATTTAGGTGCCCTCTGACTGGAATGTGTGGTGTAAACCCGTGGTGTTGCTGGAGACTGTACAGATGTTATAGATAACAGGAGATTTTATAGAGTCACAGTCCCATCAACGCATCATGTTTTCTCATGACCAAACCACTTTGGACAGGCAGGCGGAGACATACAAGAGAAGTCTAGTTGGGTTTACAAAACCAAAGGGCCAAAGGGGGTGTGTACATGCTCTTTTGAAAGCCTCTCAGTATTTCCTTGCCTTTCTCATGCTCACCATCTCAGAAGAACCTTCCCTAAAGATAAGCATGAGAAAAGCTGTATTTGTAAAGTCGCATGTAGTTGTTAGTCATTAAAAATGTAGACCTAATAACTATCAGGCTAACGATCCAATCCGAGTGCTAGTGTTAATGTAAAAACAGGTGAATATGGTGCTGTGTTCTTCAATCAAATTCAAAATACTTTTTAATTTTATCATGCTGACATGGCAAAAAGGGTATTAAAAACAAGGAAATCTCTCTAAGGCTTTCCCTTGGCTCACTGTTTCTCCCTTGCCAACCATACACCTGTCTCCTTTCTTCCACCTTCTCTTCTTCTTCTTCCCTGACTCCCCACTCCTCTCTGGCCCTGTTCGGAATGTATGAGGCAGCATGTTTTGCTCTGGTCGGCCAGGGCTGGGTTCGCTCTCAGCAAGACTGAAAACCACATGAACAGACCTGCTGTGCTGTTTGGCTGAGATGAGTAGAGTATATGTTCTTGGAGTTAATCTACTGTGTCGTGTTGTGGCTCAGGGCGGCTTCTCTCCTCCAGACAGGAGCAGAGACACAACATGCTTACCTGAGTTTGTAAAATATACCAGTATAAACATGCGCTCTATAACATTAAACACATAAACTGAAATTTCCTGTCACTAACCATAAAAAAATATGCATTAATATGTAAATTAGTTAACAATAGTAATAGATACAGGACTAAATTGGCCATATGCAATGTGAATGTGTCAACACAACCTGTGGGATTTTTCCTGCTGTGTTTCTTTCCCTCTCTGTTGTCCCCACTGTACCCTCCCATCTCCTTCGGCCTTTCACTTCTCATACTATACGTCTCATCGGTTCTTCAGCTCTCCTATCATGCCATGTTGTGAAAAAGCTCAAATTCCATTGTTGTTTTCACTCACCCTCTTTTTAATGGGATATTAAGTCAATCTGTGCATGATTGAAAGAGAGCTGTGGTGCACGCGCACACACAGACACACAAAGATTTAAAGCTGATCGAGGTCTCATCCAAGAACAACAACTGATACTTTTTCAGAGTCAACATTCAGAGCAGATGAGAAGTATATGTGGTCACCGGTGGCCTGTGCAGGTGCCTGCCTGGCTGCCACAATGACAAACTCAGTTCCTTTCCATATTTGTATAGGTGTTGATAAGATCTTTTGCATGACAAAAAAAGCAGAATTATGTCAGAGGTGATTTGTAAGTGCTAAGTTTTGATACATTTCTCATTAAACATAAAGAAGGTCACTTTACCTTTCATGGTTTCTCCTTCAATATTCCTTTACTAAGAACTTGTCCAGGTTGCTGAGGCTCTGTGAGATGATTGTGTTGATGTTCCAGTCCTCCTTACCTTTTTTTTTTTTTTGTTTTTACATAAAGCAGTTTATCTTTGAGGTGCCAGAAAAGTCATTCGTGCAACATTTTCCAATTCCCTGCAGGTTTCCAAAAAAAGAAAAAAGTTCTAAAAGGTCTTATTCCCACAGATTTATGGAGAGGACCATTTCAGGATTCAGCCACTTTAAATGTCAGCCCATATGTGCGAAGGTGCACATCTGCAACTCAAGAAAAACTGATGTCTAAGTCTATCAAAGCTCCTCTAAGGTTTGAACGTGTGCTTGTCTGCAGCTCTCTGACATTATCCCCGAGAAAACTAAACCTAATCAAACAGAAATCATGGGCAACTTCAGAGAGGGAGTGAGGAAGAGTAACGAGAGAGAAAGAGCAAGGCAGAGAGGAAGATGGGAGGGAGGGAGGGAGGGC